AGCAGGGAGAAATAAGGGTCAATCTTATTAAACTTTAATACTTTAGGATGATATGGGAAAATTAAGTTTATATAACATCTTAAATGGGTGTTGTATGGTAAAAATATCATTTCATTATTCAAGGGATTTCAACTCATGAGATCTTCAACTTAACCTTCTTAATAAAGTGAAAACCTTTCGTTTACTTTGCATCCCTCTGCTTATTATTTAGAAAAGATAATCAAGAGCTTAAATATTTGGTATTAATATTTTTTTAAACATGTATTTGCAAATATTATACCTAAAATGTGTAAACCATATGATTTATTTAGCTTTATTAGTGCTTTTAAAATATATTTTTTAGTAATAAAACATTTTTTTGTAAATATTTTAAGAGTCTTAGAGCAACTGTTTTTGCGATTTTGTTTTAGAACTAAGGAATATCCTCGTTCTCTATGTACAATATTTTGTTTAAAATATATTTTTAAATAATAATAAATTTTACTAAATATTTTAAGAGTCTTAAGTAATAGAGCAACTGTTTTTGGGATTATGTTTTATAACTATGGATTATCCTTGTTGTCTACGAGTTCCTTGTAGAACTAAGGACTATCCTTGTTCTCTACGAGTTCCTTGTAGAACTAAGGACTATCCTTGTTTATTACGAGTTCCTTGTAGCAAGTGCTCACTGTGCTCGCATGCGAGAGATGAAGATCCAGCGACAATGATGAAGATGAAGTGGCAACAGCTGAACGGCGAAACAGCTGCACTGGCATTGAAAACCTGGCCATGGTTAGATGTTGGATCTCGCATTTTAGATCTGTTCGCATTGTTCGAATGCGAATGCGTTTATCAGCTAGCTAGCTAGCTAGCTTTACCGTTATCATTAACCAGCCGCGGTACAGAGGCAGCGACGTCGGCAGCGACGCCAGCAGAGCACGCATGAGAGCGAAACACACGCAAAATAAAAGCAGGTTGGGCGTACCAAAAAGGGGGAGGGAGATGGGGAAGGAGAAGGGGAAGGAGGCGGGGAGATAGATAGAAAGAAAGAACGAAAGAAAGAGGAGGTGGAGAGCCAGGCAGAGCAACACGTCAATTGGTGAAAGGTGCGCTGGATGCGATAAAGCTTCCATCATATTTTACATTTTCGTAATTTGCTAAAAGCACACACCACACACACACACACACACGAAAAGAGCACACAAGAGTCCATAGTGTGCGTGTGCAATTTCATTTAATTAGATTGCGTTTTAATAATGCCACACACAAGCACACACTCCACACACAAATACTCATCAAGGGAAAGATAAAAGATACAGATACAGACACAGATACACCATCATGCCTATCGTACATTTGCAGCAGAAATTCGCACATGGGAACATACAACATACATACGACATTCAATCGCCGATATTGATAGTGTAATTTAATTGATTTGCCAGCAGAGCAGAGCAACAAGAAGAAAAACTCGAAGCAACAAGAGAATAATAATGAGCAGACAAGAAGATGCGGCGCTATGAAGATGGGGCTTCCAAATACCCTGGGAAAACCTCATTTTCTTTGAACTTAACATCAATATCTCCTACGATTATTGTGAAATTTAGCAGATCTATGTATTATGGCTCAACACTTTATCATACACAAATTGGTTTCATTATCTCTATAAGTTTAATAGTAAATATCAGAACCTCCTTCGATTATTGTGAAATTTAGCAGATCTATGTATTATGGCTCAACATTTTATCAAACACAAATTGGTTCCATTATCTCCACAAGTTTAATAGTAATTTTCCCTAGAAACCATACAGGCCTTACAGTCAAAATAATCTGATATTCTTATGTTATCCTCAATATATATTTCTGATATAGCGATCAAGTATTGCTATCTTACTATTGTTATTAAGATTTATTAGCTTGATTTTATAATTTACTCTTTAAATAGACTGAAAATATACTTTCCCTGCCTAAAAGCCAAGTTAATAACCCCATTTTCAAGGGCAGGGTAGTAAAAGCAGACAAAGAGCGAATCAGTGCCACTTGGCAACAGCTTCTGGGCCTTTTGCCATCGAGATGGACACGAACATGGATGTGGATGTTCGGATGGATAATATGGCATGGATGTGGATGTGGATGTGGATGTGGAGGCAGTGTGGCTGCATTTGTTCCGCTTGGCGATGCCCGGCACTCCATTTGCAGTAATTGGCGCTGCTTGTGCCTCCAAGGCCCCTCGATAATGATGATAATGGTAATGATGATGAGGATGGTGTTGCAGCTGATGATGCTGCTTCTTTTGTTGCTGCTGCTGCTGCTGATGCTGCTGCAACGGTGCCTAACCGTTGTGTTTGGCCAACAGGCCAACATGGCTTTGTCTAATTGCTTGAGGACGTCTCTGTGTATCTTTGCCCGGCGATCTGCTGTCTGACCTCCGTATAAAACTGACAAAAAACGAGTAAAAAAACCCGACTCGTTTGCATAATTAATCATGATTTGCACTGCTCAAGTGTGTGGAAATCGTCTTGTAAACGGCAATAATTATATTTCCAGCGAAATTGTACAAACATTTTCGCCTATCGAATTGCATTTAACCTGAAAATAAATGTCGAAAGACGTTAAGAGGGAGTTGGCCAAAAAGCGGCGAAAGGTGAGAGGTGCAGTTGAAGAGCTTTCAGCTGACGAGGCATCATATAGCGATCGTTGACTCCGAAATAACCCAACGGATAACCGAAACGGGCGATTTGCACATGCAAAAAACTATTATACCTATTTCAAAACCAAACAGTTGTTAGAAATATAAAAATATTAAGGCCAAACCAATTAAAACTACAAAACAGAGTCTATAATCAAATCTATAAACTTTAATTCAGTATCTTCTACTATATATCATACTGAAATATTACAATTATCTATTGTTTGAAAGCTATTCACCACAGAGATACTAATTGTAATTAAACTTTGGTTATCTTTCCATTTGTTTAACATTTTTAATGACTTGTATATATCAGATTTAAGATGATCTTATATTTTAATGTGCAGTTTTCGTTTCGTTTGTCGTTGTTATTTGTATTTTCATTTTCGTTTGCATTTCATTTGATGATAATCTGCCATCTGCGATTTGCTTTTAGCCAACGCCCAGGCCATCGTCCTCAGGCAAAGTTTTCTTTTTTTTTCGCCGTTCAGGAGCCAACGCCTAGAAATAAAAAAAAAGAAAATTAAAAAAGCAGGGAAATGTAGGAGTCGCTGTCACGCTTTTGTCTTCAACTCCTTTAACGCCCCTCTGTGTTTGCCTTTTTGAGAAATTAGAATGCAAAATCCAACCGCCCTCTTTTCCTTTTCCACACACACCTTTTGTGCCGTCAAATGGTTCTTTTTCTGTTTCCCCAGCTTATTTATTATGATTATTGTGCCCCCGTGACTGTTTTTTCTCCTCTTTTTTTTTAGTGTCTCTGCCCTGGCATATTTTTTTTATTTTTATTTCTTTTTTTTTCTTATAGTTTTTTCTTGATGTTCTTAATTTATGTTTAGCGTTACTGGCTGCGGCTTTTTATTGTCGGCCGGGAGTTGTTGACTCATCCGGGCCGGGCGATTCATAAGCTCTGATTAGCAGGCACGCGTCACGCTAATGAGTTGTTCTTGTTCTTGATTCTGTTTATGTTTATGATTCTGCTTATTTATCTCATCCACGGTTTTTTTTCCTTTTTTTTTGTTGTTGCAGCAATTGCTAATGGCCTTAATGTTGCAGCTGGTAAATACTTGGTATATCAGTGGCTAACGGTTGCAGGAACGGTTTTCGCAAGCATTTGTATAAGTTGATTGGAAAGCAAACAATACTAATTGCAGAATTTAATTTCTTTTTAATCTCTTGAGACCTCACTGAAACAGCTGACAACAACAGCAGGTGTCAAAAACAGACGTTTTTAATCCGAAAGCTGGGTGTTACTAGTCTACTCAATCTTTCAGCTGGTGTTTTGTTCATTAAAAGCTGATTTATTTCAACCGGTAATTGGTTGCCGAGGATTAGTCTCTCCTCTATGGATTTATTAATTGGATCAGTGTGTACTCCCAGTAGGTGTTGATACCCGTTTTCGAGTGCCAAACACCTGCTACGAATCGAATCGTATGGGATTGCATCTAAGGCAGTTTTATCGATGACACGATAGAAGTGTCATCGAAGCTTTGACAGCTGACTGCTGCCTGTTGAGTTCGAATTTATTGGAGCCGACTTGGATGTGGGAAATAAAAAAAAAAGATTTAAAGGAAACAAAAAAAGAAAGAAAGAATGAAGTTGAAGTTGTGGATCAGCGACATGTGTCGCCATGTAATGCAAATGTTATCTGCATTTCCTGTTGGGATGAATGGCAATGCGCCAGGCAGTTGAATCGAAATCCCTGTCCCGACAACTCCTTTCCCCCCAAAAACCCCCCTTGGAAACCCCCTTCCAGAACCCACTGCCATTCAACATGCATGCAGCACACATGGCAGACAGTGAAGACACTGAGGACAGTGGAGACCCTGTTTGACAGCCAGTGGTAGTCGAGAGCCAAGCAGACGACCCATAAATCTTGCACGCAGACCCCCTCTCCCCACGCCCCGCGACAAAGTGTTCATCAATCAAGCGGATAGTTTTACATAATTAAACGAATAATCAATGTTTTCACCCAGGGGCGTCACGAAAGGGGGACACGAATAGCAAAATCGTTATGAAAAGCAAACCAAAGAGGACAAATTCAAAGATTGCTTTAATCATCAAGAGTTTATATCCTTCTTATGATATGCAAATGTATCTAAGTTGCAGTATTAAATGTTCTCAGTTTATTTTCGATGAACTATGTTCTATATTATGATCAATCATTATGATTAATCAGTAAAATGAATGTCTCAAGATCTCTTAATCTGAAAAATCACCGAATGCCGTAAGATCGGATTATTGCATCTCTCATTTCCGATTTCATTATTTATGACTCTATTAGGGTTACCTACGCCCCTGTACTCATCGCCTTTCCCCGATCTTTCCATTGCAGCCATAAAGTTCGTTCTTCCTCTCAAAAGAAGCCGGAATCCGGAGACAGCCACAAGATTGCTCCCATCAGCACCATGAACGGCCAGGGCTGCGAGCTGGGCCACAGCAACGGGGACATCATCTCACAGAACCAACAGAAGGGATGGTGGACCATCGGCCTGATCAACGGCCAGCACAAGTACATGACCGCGGAGACCTTTGGGTTCAAGCTCAACGCCAATGGCGCCAGTCTGAAGAAGAAGCAGCTGTGGACGCTGGAACCCTCGAACACCGGTGAAAGTGAGTACTACTACACTTAATTTTTGGCAAATTTTTTCATTTTTTATAAGTTTAACAAGTTTTTTTTGGGATTTAGATTTTGGTCTGAAATATGCTATTTTTAGTGGTTTTTTAGTCGTAGTTTAGCCAAATAAAGGCGTACAGCTAAAAGGCCGACTGTTTTTAGCAGCTTGCTTCAATTGCTATCGATATCTTCAGTTGCTATCGATCCCCATCACTTTATGGAAAATTTATTTTTTGACAAATTTTTTCATTTTTTGTAAGGGGGTAGCATGGTTTTTTTGGGATTCAGATTATGGTCAAAAATAGTCATTTTTTGGTGGTTTTTTAGTCGTAGTTTAGCCAAAGTTTTGAGCAGCTTGCTTCAATTACTATCGATCCCCATCACTTTAAGGAAGATTTTTTTTTTGACAAATTTTTAAATTTTTTGTAAGGGGGTAGCTCGGTTTATTTTGGGATTCAGATTTTGGTCAAAAATACTCATTTTTAGTGGTTTTTTAGTCGTAGTTTAGCCAAATCAAGGCGTACACCCAAAAGACCGACAGTTTTGAGCAGCTTGCTTCAATTGCTATCGATCCCTATCACTTTAAGGAAGATTTATTTTTTGACAATTTTTTTCATTTTTTGTAAGGGGGTAGCTCGGATTTTCTTGGGATTCAGATTTTGGTCAAAAATACTCTTTTTTAGTAATTTTTCAGTCGTAGTTTAGCCAAATCAAGGCGTACAGCTAAAAGGCCGACAGTTTTGAGCAGCTTGCTACAAATGCTACCGATCCCCATCAATTTAAGGAACATTTATTTTTGGACAAATTTTCGCATTTTTCAAAATGTCATATTTTAACAGGGTCTTTTTTTTTGATGTTTGTATGAAAAATAAAAGAGAAAATTCTTCTTGATTTTCACTCGGTGCTTTGTTTTCAATCCCAGCTGTGGCTTTCCACACGCGATTGGCAATTCAATTTCTGGCTAATCGATGGCACACCTTAACATTTAAATGGCAAACAATATCCATGTGCCCGTTATCTGCGGTCGGCGATAAGCATGTTAATCCAACGGCTGCAAGTGATTTTTTGTTTTATTTCGGATTTAGTTGGGGAGCGGTATTATTTCGAACCAGTTACCCCCATCCTTGGGCTTAAGTGGCAGAGTCGAAACCATTTGCCAAGCGTAATCACTATCATCTTGGCCAGTTAGTGCAGTCTTTTTATTTTTTCTTTTCTTTTTTTTCCTTTACTTACAACATAAATCATTTCGGGGTCTCTCCAGCAGCAGAGACCGATATAATTCCAGTTGCACTAATTTGACGTGCTGCAGAGTAGAAAACAAAGCGCCTCACGAATTTGGCATCATTTATCAAGAGGAGCGACTGCATTGCAATTGCGAATTGGATTTGGAGTTGGCTTTGGCTTTGGCTTTGGAGTCGGACTTGCACTTGGAATTGCAGTCCCGAAGTCTTGCAGTCCGTTGTGTTTTGTCCGTGGCCAGCAATTACAATTAAAGCCGGCCAGCAACTGGTTTTTTATTCACCGACGCCACTCTGGTCGTTGCCACTGGCAATTAATAAACATTTTCTATAATACCAAAGCCATAAGTCAGCCGGCATTCGCAGTGGCCATTAAAATAGCTCATCCAAATTGAAAATTTCTTGCTTGGCCTTGCCAGCCAGCCAGCTAGCTAGCTAGCTCCTGGTGGAATGGAGTTCCCAACTTAATGTCCACTGGTTGGTCTTGGTGGATATGGATTATTGAGCCAAATGGCTTAATATATGATAGCATTCAAAATGTTTGGAAAGCGAGCCAAGACGGTACGACAAGGTATCGATGATAGCCATAGCCGATTTTCAAATTTTTCTAACCCAGCAGGGGGTATTTCTATAAGCATAATAATTTGTAAAAGCCTGACTAATCCGTTTTGTCACCTGGGTATTATCTACTTACGATCTCATATGATTTTATTAAATTTTTCAAACCTCTTTGGGGGTATTTCTCGTCGCGAGTTATTAGTGTCGATTTAAATTAAACTAAAGCTCTTGATGCCCCTCTCTACTTATGATCTTATGATCTTATACATTTTTCTAATGTTGTAGGGGGTACTTCTAGTAAAATTCGTTAAAATATCGTAAATATAACCTTTATAAGTATTAATTTCCAATTTAATTAAATTAGAAACCCTACTAATTTCACCCCTTTCTCTATTCCAGGTATTATCTACTTACGATCTCATCTGAACAAGTACCTTTCGGTCGATCAGTTTGGCAACGTGCTGTGCGAGAGCGAGGAGCGGGACGCGGGCAGCCGCTTCCAGATCAGCATCAGTGAGGATGGCAGCGGTCGCTGGGCGCTGAAGAACGAGTCGCGCGGCTATTTCCTCGGCGGCACTCCGGACAAACTGGTCTGCACGGCCAAAACGCCCGGCGCCAGTGAGTTCTGGACGGTCCATTTGGCTGCCCGGCCGCAGGTGAATCTGCGTTCCATTGGACGCAAGCGGTTCGCTCATCTCTCGGAGTCGCAGGATGAGATCCATGTGGATGCCAACATTCCGTGGGGCGAGGATACGCTCTTTACGCTGGAGTTCCGTGCCGAGGAGGGCGGTCGTTATGCCCTGCACACGTGCAACAACAAGTGAGTTATTGGATTTGGAAAGTATGATTGTAAACGATGCCGCAGTTGCAACCATATGGTTTTGTTTATTGGGTGTAAACGATGCAGCAGTAGCAGCCATTTGGTTTTGTTTGCTCTGGGTAAACGATATAGCAGTTGCATCCATATGGTTTTGTAGGTGTATCTGGCCATACTCATTAAGAGAAAATGTCTCAAACTGCCGCTGCATCGTTTACAGTTTATTCTTTGAGTGTATAATTGATCTAACATATTTCTTTGTTCTCCCCACACAGATATCTGAACGCCAATGGCAAACTGCAGGTGGTTTGCAACGAGGACTGTCTGTTTAGCGCCGAATATCATGGCGGTCATCTGGCGCTGCGCGATCGTCAGGGTCAATACTTGTCGCCCATTGGCTCCAAGGCGGTCCTAAAGTCCCGCTCGTCGTCGGTGACACGGGATGAGCTTTTCTCGCTGGAGGATTCGCTGCCCCAGGCCTCCTTCATTGCGGGCCTCAATTTGCGATATGTGAGCGTTAAGCAGGGCGTCGATGTGACGGCCAACCAGGATGAGGTGGGCGAGAACGAGACGTTCCAGCTGGAGTACGACTGGTCGGCACACCGCTGGGCCCTGCGCACCACCCAGGATCGCTACTGGTGCCTGTCGGCTGGCGGCGGCATCCAGGCCACCGGCAATCGGCGCTGCGCCGATGCCCTCTTCGAGCTTATCTGGCACGGCGACGGATCGCTCTCGTTCCGGGCCAACAATGGCAAATTCTTGGCCACCAAGCGTTCGGGGCATCTGTTCGCCACCTCGGAGTCCATCGAGGAGATAGCCAAGTTCTACTTCTATTTGATCAATAGGTGAGGGATTGAATCACTCAAATATTTCCTTAACTAATTGTATTGTTTTCGATGTACAGACCAATTCTTGTGCTGAAGTGCGAGCAGGGATTCGTGGGCTATCGCACACCCGGCAACCTGAAGCTGGAGTGCAACAAAGCCACCTATGAGACCATTCTGGTGGAGCGCGCCCAAAAGGGACTGGTGCATCTGAAGGCGCACAGCGGCAAGTACTGGCGCATCGAGGGCGAGAGCATCTCGGTGGATGCCGATGCGCCCAGCGATGGATTCTTCCTGGAGCTTCGTGAGCCGACCAGGATCTGCATAAGGTTGGAGCACAACTGTGGATGTAGTCGGAATAAGGGCATAGGAAAATTCACTAACCATTTAAAAACCATGTGCCCCTATTCCGATTGCTGTGTATATTTGTTTTGATTTACTATAAGTTATTAATCCTGATATATTTTACAGATCGCAGCAGGGCAAGTATCTGGGCGCCACAAAGAACGGGGCGTTCAAGCTGCTGGACGATGGCACCGATTCGGCCACCCAGTGGGAGTTCTAGGGCGGGACCACGCCCCCTCCCACAAAGGGCTGCTGAACGCGTCATCAGTATCACAATCACACACTTCCCATCCAAGCGGGGATTCCCTAATTATCGATCCGCGCAACTGAAGCGCTGAGTAAAAGTCGCACAAGAATTTGAGATCCTAACCAGCAATTGCAACATTAACGAAAAAAAAGAAGGAAAACACGTTGATAGACCCAAGGAGATGCGAGTGAATGAAAAATGAAAACAACAAAAAAACTTATATATTTATATATAAAGATCTACGTATACATAGAAAGAGAGATTTTTTTTAAACAACCTATTTAGCTTTTTATACGTTTTATACGATGAGAATATCTACAAAACAAGAACAACAAATTTTTTAGCGTAGACAACAAAAAACGAAACTTCTGTCGCGAGTCCTTCCGTTTTATCAAATATATCAGCAACTAGGCCAGCAAAAATGAAGAAAGACATAATGGTTATACAAGCACATCATATATACACCTAAATATACATATTCGATTCGTAAAGCTTAGCGGAAAAAAAACCGGAAAAAGATAAGGGAAATAAGAGCAAGAAAAACATAAATAAATGAAAAAAAAATAAAAAATAAATCAACACATATTCCTATAAATTTATTTATATATTTATATACATATTGATATAAACGATAACACAAGGACACACACATACACACGACCCACACCCCCACACCCCCACACACTCACACACATACCCACACACCCAAGCAAGCAATTTTAATACGCAAAACAAAATTTAGTCACTAAGCAAACCTTAAAAAATTAATCTGTAATAAAAAAAAACGAAGTCAAAAATTAAACATCAAATCTCTCCGTACGGCGATTTTGCAATGGAATCAACTCCACTATATCTAACATATGCATATATTGAATTAGTTTTTTGTTATTTATTTGCGTCGATTTCTTAATTAATTAATTAGTAATCTTTTTTTTAATTTGTGCACTTCAAATCGAAACAAAAAACTCAACCCAATTTAGTTGCTAACTCTTAAAATGGAAATTTTGTATGATACATATGAAATATATACATATATACAAGACTCTTGGCATTTTTATGGGTTTGGGGCTCTTAACCTTAAAATGGAAAACTGAAGGGCTCAACTTAAAAATTTAAAGCGCTAAAAGTTGGTTATAGTTATTTTTACGAAGCTATATCCCTCATATTAGCGTCGGTGACTTAGCGGCGATGGCGGAACGGTGGAAACTGGAACATGGGGCTAACTTTTATTTTTTGATTTTCTCGGCTTCTTGGAGCCGAATCGAAAAATATTAAATACAGAATTGTTTAGAATGAAAATATCTATCGATCTAGTTTGCAACCATATCAGACTTCTAGGAATCTATTAAAAATCTATTTAAAAAATCGGGTCCCCATAATTTTGTTTATTGCTCCCCTCACAGAGGTTGTACCAATATGCACGGTAAACCTGGTTATTGGGCGTTAATCAAGCCTCTTGTCAGAAAGTATCATTGAGCTAAAGCCGTCAGTTTTTGAGAAAATTGCTTAACAGTGAATGCACCTCGGATTTTCCCCATACAAAAAGGGGGGCAAATATTAAATTGCACACGGCTCCACTCTCAGACGTTGTACCAACATGCTCGGTATATTGGCAGATTGGGGATCGCCTAAAGCAAGTACAGTGAAAAAATCATAAAGATAAAGCCGTCAGTTTTTTAGAAAATCGCTTTACAGTGGGGGAAGATAAATAATTAAAAGAAGTGCCGTCAGATATAAATTTGAACCAGAAAGTTCCAAGACAGGAACCACTATGTAAAACATGTATTCAGGACACTAACCATGTGGGATAAAATTATGTTTCGACGCTATCTCTATTTTCAACTAATTTGACTTTCACAGACGTTGTACCAACATGCACGGTACCTCGCTGGAAAGGAAATTCATTTTACTAATTAACAAATGCGGTACGGCAAACGAAAAGCTGTCAGTTTTTGAGAAAAACGCATAGTGCGTTGTGAGCATCTCATTTGTTCCACCCAGTTCCTCCCTGTTCTAAGCTCCCAAGACACTAACCATATGGGAAAAAAATTATGTTTCGGCGCTATCTCTATTTTTAGTTAATTTGACTTTCACAGACGTTGTACCAACATGCACGGTACTTCGTTGGAAAGGAAAATCATTTTACTAATAAAAAAATGCGGTACGGCAAACGAAAAGCCGTCAGTTTTTGAGAAAAAAGCACAGTGCGTTGTGGACATCTCATATGTTACAAAGTTTTAAGCAATTCCACCCTGTTCTACGGTCCCAAGACATCGTTTTTTTCGATTCGGCCCCAAGAAGCCGAGAAAATCAAAAAATAAAAGTTTGCCCCATGTTCCATATTTCACCGTTCCGCCATCGCCGCTAAGTCACCGACGCTAATTTGACGGACATCAAAATTTGGTCAAAATTTATGGCGACATAAATGTCGAAAGCGGCCCACCACTAGTTTCGTCGGCTTATCAGTACCGAATACTGTCTTACAAAAGATCATTTCATTTCATTTAATCTTGAAATGTTTTAATATAACTTTATACAAAGACGAACTAATTTTTTTCAGGGATCAAATATTAATACATTTCACAATGAGACTCATCATGGAAGCGGATGGTGAGTTCCCACGACTTATGGCGATGGGTTCCCCTATATGGAATCGTGAGTCTCCCGCTTGCAGGTCCGTCCTCTGGAGTGGATCATGATCAGAGTGGTGCCAACAGTCCCCAGGAGGGAGAAACCCTCGATGGAGGCGCCACAGCTGATGTGCCGGCAGTGCCTGGCGGACAACCCAGAGGCGTCGCTGGCCATGTATACGAAGACCGGAATCGACAAATCCAGCAACATCTGATGTTGCTCCTCCATGCCCACAAGTGCAACCGCCAAGAGGAATGCCGTGTCATCTATTGCAGGGTGATGAAAACAGTGCTGGTCCACATGACCACTTGTCCTCTGGCCAGGGACTGCCCTGTGACCCATTGTAATTCTTCCCGGGCGATCCTGTTGCATTACAAGACCTGCACAAACCGTGGCTGTATTATTTGCTCCATTTTTCGACGGCAAACACGAAGAAATGAAAATCTGATGTGATGGTCCCATCGGAAAGGTATCGCAAAAACTATTCAAAATAGAACCAATCAAAGTCATTTGTAAATTACCTAAGAAATAAACCAGAGAATACAATTAAAATCATTATTTTTATCGACTGGGAACCAATTTTAAAATTACGGAAAAAATGGTTTGAGAAATTGGGAGAATATAAAATCTCTTTGAAGAGCACTGATTATCCTGATTTGGATGATTTTATTAGTCTGACGTAATCATTATTTTCGGTCCCTGCTTAAGCTGGCACGAGACATTCAATTTTATCCGATAAAATAATATACTACGACGCAATGACGTTCCGAAACCCCGATCGTTCATTTTTGAGCATTACGAAAAAACGTTTTTTTAAATCTCTGTTTTGACCGAGAATGCCATACCTCGTTGAGCTGGTAGTTTAATATTCAATCCCTTGGCATATAAACCTGAAAATGTTCAATTTTTGCAAAAGAAAAAAAATTAAAAATGGGAAATTGGTAAAACATAATTTTGTTTAGAGTGATGGGAATAGTAGGCTTAAGTAGCAGCTGGCAAAAACAATTGGTCTTTTAGCTGTACGCCTTGATTTGGCTAAACTACGATTGAAAACCCGTGCTTTGAATGGCAAAATGCAAATATAAGTCGTACCTCGTTGAGCTCGTTGTTAAATTTTCCATCTATTGGCATTAAAACCTGGACATTTTACATTCCTACACATTTAAAAAAAAATTCTAAACTTAGTCGATAAACAAATTGTCTTTAAAGTGATAGGGACCGTTAGCATAGGAAGTTAGCTGCTTAAAACAGTCAGTGTTTCAGCTGTACGCCTTGATTTGGCTAAACTACGACCTAAAAAACGCTTAAAATAAAAGCGTTTTGGCTAAAATTGAATCTCTTTTTTTCGCCCTAAAATATCAGTGATTTGACAGGCACATCATACATCTTTGATCTCGTAGATTAATTTCCAATCCGATGGCATTCAACCGACAATTTTTTTCTATTTTTGAAAGCTTTTTCAAATTACGCACTAGCCATGAGCGAGCTCTCCGATTAATGGCGCCACAGATATCGAACGCAGCCCACCACTAGATACGTCGATTTCTCAGTACCGAACACGGTCTTACTGAAGAAAGTGAATCATTTGATTTAATGTGGATGTTGGAATAAAATCTCAATTTTGTTTGGCCCAAGACGAATCTCATTTTTTTCAATAAAGATCTCATATCAACACACTCTGCAATGAGATTCGTCGCGGAAGTCGATGGAGGAGCCGGTGGCTCAGAGGATGGTGAGTTCTGCTTGCCAGTGATGATGGGGTTTCCCTAAAAGGCATCGTTTCTTCCGCTCGCAGGTGCGTCTTCCGGGGTGGATCAAGGTCAGGGTGGTGCTGGCACCGGTCCCCAGGAGGAAGTCGCAATCAGCGAGGGTACCGCTGGCGAGATGGCCGCGCTGCCTGGCGGACCAGCCGGTGGCGCCCGCCGCTTTGTGGACGACGTCAAGAAGCGGCAGATCCAGCGGCAACTGGCGCTGCTCCTCCATGCCCACAGGTGCCGCCAACCGGAGTGCCTCGTCAACTTCTGCAGGGACATGAAGGCAGTGCTGGTCCATGCCATCGCTTGTGTTCGGGGCAAGGACTGCCCCACGAAGCATTGTTCCTCCTCGCGTCAGATCCTGACGCACTACAAGATCTGCCGAGACCATGCCTGCCGGATTTGCTCCATTTTTCCAAGGAGCATTCCGGTTCCGGAAACTGAAAATACTTAAAATTCAACCTGATTCTATCATTTTCTGTAAATTACCAAAGAAAAACCAGAATATAGAATAAAAATCATTATGTTAACAAGATAGAAATATACCACAAATTAAATAGTATAAGAAATTGTGAGAAAATCCAATTGCTTTGATACAGGGACCATAATAGTTAAGTTTTATTTATAAACTGGCACTGTAATTATAATTCTTGATTGTTGTTGTTGGCTTGGCCAGGTAGTTTTTAAAGATATAGACAAAAGAATGCATATTAAGTTTGGGCTATTTTAAAGTTGTATTTAAGGTTTCGTAAAAAAAATGGAAAAATAAAATGATTTAGATGAAAACTTAAAATAAAAGCAAAGTGGCTTGCATAATTAAGCCATTTTAAAGTTCACTGGTTTTCTTGATTTTTTGGCAACACTTTTCTATTTGTTCGGAAAAGCTAAAATAATACATCATAACCTCGTTGAGCTCGTAGTTTAGTTCCCAACTAAATGGAAAAATAAAGAAATGCAAAAATTTCTCAGAAAATAAATGTTTATTTTAGCTGTACGTCTTATACGATTGGAAACCTCTAAAAAAACACGATTTTTTTTAATTTACAAACATATTCTTTTTATTCTCAAATACGGAAAAATGGAGTAAAAAAGGACTGGATTATTATTGGTCCTTTAATTTGGATGCTTTAATTTGCTTGATTAATTTTTAAATTCTTCTGCAGTGTTGGATCCTTTGACTTCGTAATCGAATAGAAGGGTTTGCTATTTTCCAAAACTATTCTATTTGTTTCGGTACCTTAATTTCATAATCGAATAGATAGGTTGGTTATTTTCTAAACTCTTGTATAGTGTTGGATCCTTTGATTTCGTAATCGAATAGAAGGGTTTGCTATTTTCCAAAACTATTCTATATTTTTTAAATCATTTAATTTCGTAACCAAATAGATAGGCACATTATTTTTCTTAACCATTCTATGTTTTACGGTTCTTTAATTACGTAATCGAAAAGATATGATGGTTATTTTTTAAACTCTTTTATAGTGTTGGATCCTTTGATTTCGTAATCGAATAGATAGGTTAGTTACTTTTTTAAACTCTTCTGTACTGTTGAATCCTTGGTATTTTTCAAAATTAATTTAATTTCCTAATCGAATAGATAGGTTTTTTTATTTTTCTAAACTATTTTATATTTTAGGATTCTTGTAAATTCGTAACCGACAGCCTGCGCGCCTTAGTGTGGCTGCTCTTGAGAAAAACAATTACGGCGGATGGCAGAACTTTGGGCATTTTTAGCTGGTTTTCGCGGCGGCGGGGTATATTTAAGGGGTCCGCCCGCGGTCATACCACTTGACGTACCTCACTCGATTCGCGAGCACGCGGCTCTTGGACTCCAGTGGACTGGTAAGAGGTGGCACCATGTGCTCGCTGCCACTCGGCATTCCCATCGAGTTCCAAACGCAGCAATTAACCTTTTTTCCCCCCAATTTCAATTGTCTTCCTCCGCCCTGCTCTCCGCCTCTCTCGTTCTATCTTTCTGCCTGTGTGTGTGTGTGTGTGTTGGTTCCCCGTTATTGCGTCTCAAAAGCTCTCGAGGAATCGAATCTTTGAAGCGAAGGCTTAGAATCCCGCAAAGAACTGCAACAGGAGATCGAAGAGCCATCGAGCATCCAAGACCGGCGTCCTTTATCTCTATTTGGCTTGTTTTTGACTGCTTTGGGTTGAACGCACGCGGAGAATGGAGGGCAAGACAAAGGTGAATGGCTTTGTGGAATCATCGGCCTCGTCGGCTGGCAGGAAGGACTCCTCGGTGGACGAGCAGCTGCAGGATGGCCTGAGCTGTCGGGAACTGTTCGAGAACGGTGATGGTCTCACCTACAAGTGAGTGGTATCCCAAACTCATGGCATTACCAGTACCAGTAACCCATTAACCCTTCCGTAAACCCCCTCCCGAACCCCACAGCGACTTTCTCATATTACCCGGCTACATAGACTTCACCGCCGAAGAGGTGGATCTCAGTTCGCCGCTGACCAAGTCGTTGACACTGAGGGCTCCTCTGGTTAGTTCGCCCATGGACACGGTAACCGAATCGGAGATGGCCATCGCCATGGCGGTAAGTATCGGATTGTTAAGATCTGTATATAGATGTATATACCCAATTATGGCCCAGAACCGCTGGCGGGTTCGCCTGAGCTGTGCTAGCCTGTGGTTGTAACTCAACACTCTTATGCGCCTCTCTAACCGCCAATGTCTCTATCCAAAAATTGCATTACTCACTATCACGCATTCGAATCCCGCGCGCAGCTGTGTGGTGGCATTGGGATCATCCATCACAACTGCACGCCGGAATACCAGGCGTTGGAGGTGCACAAGGTTAAGAAGTACAAGCACGGCTTCATGCGCGACCCCTCGGTGATGTCGCCCACGAATACGGTGGGGGATGTGTTGGAGGCGAGGCGGAAGAACGGATTCACCGGCTACCCGGTCACCGAGAACGGCAAACTGGGCGGCAAGCTGCTGGGCATGGTCACGTCGCGGGACATCGACTTCCGCGAGAATCAGCCGGAGGTCCTGTTGGCCGACATCATGACCACCGAACTGGTGACCGCCCCCAATGGCATCAATCTGCCCACGGCGAATGCCATCCTTGAGAAGAGCAAGAAGGGCAAGCTTCCGATTATCAATCAGGCCGGCGAACTGGTGGCCATGATTGCCCGGACGGATTTGAAGAAGGCTCGCTCCTATCCGAACGCCTCCAAGGATTCCAATAAGCAGCTCCTCGTCGGCGCCGCCATCGGCACGAGGTCGGAGGACAAGGCGCGACTGGCCCTGCTGGTGGCCAACGGCGTGGACGTCATCGTGCTCGACTCCTCGCAGGGCAACTCCGTCTACCAGGTGGAGATGATTAAGTACATGAAGGAGACCTATCCGGAGCTCCAGGTCATCGGCGGCAATGGTGAGTCCACAGCTATTCTTTCCACTTCTTTCTTATATTATAATAATAATGTAATGGTTGTTTTATAAGCAAGCTTAGTCTTTTCAAAAAGTACATTCATTTACAAATATTAAAAGAAATAAAATATATTTTCTTCAAATACTTTTTAAGTCTGAAATAATCATACATTATTTCTGTCACAATAGCAACTAAACTTTCTTATAAGAAATATGTATTTTAAAAAATGTAGCATACTTTCTAACAAATTCAGCTTTATATTCCTCATTTCTGTTACGAGAAAAAGATCACATAATTTGATCATTTTAGTTACGTTTAAACTTAAATATATAATTTCCCAAAAAAAATTATTTGGGGGTCAACAGCCAAAAAAGCTTATAGAAAATAAAATTCAATACTTTTGACT